CTCCCTCTCCCTCTCCCTCTCCCTCTCCCTCTCCCTCTCCCTCTTCCTCTCCCCCCCTTCCCTCCTCTTGTTTTCCCTACCTCCCTTTCCCTCCCCTACTTAGCCCTCTGGTAATCAGTAACTAGTAAAACTCAGCATCTGTTCGATTACCTACTGATGGCCTTAGTCAGGGTAATGAAACACCATGACCACAGGCAACCTAGTGAGGGAAGGGTTTGTTTGGCTTGCACTTCATTGTCCGTCATTGATGGAAGTCAGGGCAGGAAGTCAAAAAAGGCAGGAACCTGGAGGCAGGAGCTGATGCTGAGGCCATGGAGGGATGCTGCTGACTGGCTTGCTTCTCATGACTCGTTCAGACTGCTTTCTTATAGAACCCAGGACCATCAGCTCAGGGGTGGCCCCGCCCACAGTGGGCAGAACCTACCCCTCATCAATCACTAATTAATAAATTAGCCTATAGGCTTGCATACAGCCCACTCTTACAGAGGCATTCTCTTAATTGAGTTTCTTTCCTCTCTGATGACTCTAGCCTGTGTCAAGTTGACATAAAACCAGCCAGCATACCAAAGGCTGATTTTTCTACTGGTTTGTGTTTCTTTTAATTGGCTGTTTTACTTAAGCTGTGCGTGCGTGCGTGCGTGCGTGCGTGCGTGCGTGCGTGCGTGCGTGCGTGTGTGTGTGTGTGTGTTTCCTAATGCATACTCAGATTGCTCACTCTTGCCTAGACAAAGATGTAACCACCTGCCTTTTCTTCTTCAGCATTGGTTGTGACCACATGCTTTTTCTTTTTGATACGCAGGGTCCTTGTGGGTGCACCGAAGGCAGATTCTAAATATAGCACTTCAGTAAAGTCCCCTGGAGCTGTGTTTAAGTGTCGTATCCATACCAACCCTGACCGGAGATGCACCGAGCTGGACATGGCTCGAGGTGGGTGGACACGCTTGTCAGAGTAGAAATGGGAGTGACACCTCCATACTTTGTTCTTTTTCTATGTAGGATGGCCTCATTGTTCACCAACCTACCCTCTCTCCCGCTTTCCCCTCTCCATCTTACAGATGTGTACTGAGATTCTATCCGGTATTAAGCACTGAGATATGCCAATGAACAAAGCAAAGAAGGAGACTGTCATCCTGGGCCTTAAAAACCAGTAGTCAGAATAGACATTAAAATAAACAATAGAGTAAGAGAAATCCAGAGGGAAGGTGTATGCTAGGGTCAACTCTATATTGGAGGTCGGAAAGGGCTTCCTTGGGGACCTTTCTGTGTATGGAAGGTAGCTAGCTGGGAAGTCGAGGAAGCGAAGTCTCCAAGCAAGAACAGTGTTATAACAGGAGAGGTGAGCAGGGGAAGGAGGAAGGCGGAAAGGACATGTGCCAGGTGGGAGGGGCTACACCACATAGGCCTCACAGGACAGTTACATGATGGGATTTCACTCCCTGTGTGTGACCAGAGGCCACTCAGATCAGTGTCAGCTTTTCTGTCTTACACGGTGAAAGGCATGATTGGATGGATTGCAGTGCTCACTTTTGTCTAGCGGATTATGTAGCTTTTCTAGATCAATTTCCATGGATTGGCTCTGGTCCAGCTGTACATACTGGGGATTGCTTGCACTGAATTACTCTGAGAAGCTGGAGATAAGAGAGGCAAGCACAGAAACCCAAGCTAAGTGCAGGAGAGCCAGCTGCGCGGGCTTGCATGAGCTTGCAATCCCAGGGTTGAGGAGGTGGAGGTGAGACTCCCGTGGGATCACTGGTCAGCCAGCATAGCTAATCCTGTGAGCCTCAAGTTCAGCAAGAGACTCTGCCTCAAAGGATAAAGTAGAGAGTTACTGAGGAAGACTCCTGACTTTACATGCATGGACTCACACATGAATACACACTCTTCCAACATGTGGCACACACACAAACACACACACACACAAACATGTGGCACATACACATATACACATGATTATATAGCTCCAATATGTGTACACACATGCAAACATGTGAACACACACATGGATGTGCTCTCTAACATGTGCACACACATAGACACACACAAATGCATCCTCCAACATGTACACACACATACACATGCAAACTTGTAAACACACACACACACACACACCAAGCAAAGCCAAAAAAAAAAAAAAAGAGTCCTGATTTTCTTTATCCGAAGAAATCGTGCTTGTGTGATCTGCTCTGTGAAATGTTTGTTACAATGACTTCCCAGAACATCAGTGGAAACACTTTTTCTTCATGGAGAACTTTGTTGTGGAAAAAAGAATGAGCTGAATTAAACAGCATCATTTTGTTACAAGTTTGTATAGAGTTGACATTTTGTTATAGGTACAAAAGTTTGAGTCCCTAGGACCACCCTTTGAAAAGCAGCCAGCTGTACCAATCCTCAACCCAAATCTGACCTCTTTTCTCCCTCCAGAGAAGACTCGTGGTGCGATTTGTGGGAAGACCTGCAGGGGAGACCGGGATGATGAGTGGATGGGGGTGAGCCTGGCCCGGCAGCCCAAAGCAGATGGCCGCGTTTTGGTAAGACCTTTGAGGAGAGGGTGACTTGGGACAGGGCACCCTAAGGATGAAGGGCTGACCTCATAGGAAAGTTTGCTAGCACATAAGCCAGAACAGAGCGTTAAGGCTATCGGCTCTGTGTTGCTGCTTTGAGGTATGTCTGACCTGCAGTTTCAGGCCACATGTAACTGCACGCAGCAGGGGACAGCTAGGAGGCTCAACACAAAACTGTAAAGTCACTTAAAACGTTGTGAGATGACATTTGTGGGATTAAAAAATACCTCAATTGTGTGGTCCTCAAGTGTGAACCTTGTAGGTGACAGTATCATATTGCTATGTCGAAGGCTGACATGCCTAGAATCTGCCTTTGTATGGTCCTTAGACATACTGGACTGAGGTTATAGCTCAGTGGTAGAGTGCTTTCTTAACATGCATGAGACCATGATCAGTCCCAGGAGGCAGAGAGGGGGTAGGGGGTAGAAAGGCTGAGACAGAGAGACAGAGTCAGAGAGACAGAGACAGAGAGTGAGACAAATATAAAGACAAGTGAGATAGAGAGAGACAGACAGGCAGATAGACAGACGGAGAGAATATGACAATATAGGTAGAAAGAAGTTTGTAATAATTTCATTTACTACCTAAGTATTTTTGTGTATGTTTTCAGGTCTATAATGTTGTACACACACACACACACACACACACACACATATAGTATATGTTTCAGGTTTATAGTTTACATAAAATAAACAAACCTTGAGGCTGTAGCTTGGGTTCTTGCAGACATTTGAACATGGAAGGCAGTTCTCTGTGTCTTTAGTCAACTCCTCACACTCCAGAGGCAGCTGCTACCTTGCAAACATCGCTGTTGGTTTTTCTAGAGCTTTACATGAATGTACTTCTATTCAGGTGTTCAATTCCTGGGAAACACACAGTGAAAGGAGAGAAGTGACTCCCATGAGTCACCCTCTGAAGTGTGCACACACACACATGGAGACACACACATACACATGCATACATACACATGCACACATACACTCATATATATATGCACACACATATGCACATAGACATACATACATATACACACATATACATGCACGTACATACACACAAACACACATATACATGCACACATATGCAAATATAGACATACATATATACACATACACATGCACACACACATACACACAAATATACATATACACACATACATTGCATATGCACACACATACACATGCACACACATACACACATGCACACATGTGTACATACATGCACACATATACATGTATGCACACAGACATACACATACACACATATATGTGCACATGCACAAATATACACATGCATACATATGCACACACATAGACATGCACACACACATACACATGCACACACACATGCACACATGCATACATACATGCATGTATATACATGTATGCATACAGCCATACACATATACACATATACATACACATGCACACACATAGACATACACACACATAAGTACATATTTAAAACCAAACCAACAAACCACTAACTGTGACAGAGACTTGGTTATTAACCATTTCCTCTCTTTTCTTGTATATTTTTCTGTTGAGAGCACTCAGGCATGCGTACTTCACAGTCTGGTGACATATATTCAGGCATCCCATGGCCAGTACCCTGCAGGCTCCCTGTGCTCTTTCCCAGGCAGCTGGTGCCCTGCAGGGTGATCTCCTTCAGACTTCCTACAAAGTCTGCCATTGGCTTTCCTCGAAGGCTGTAAGAAGATTTGTGTTTTAAAAGTTCAAGGTCAAGAAGAGAAAGTGAGTCCAGCTGCTGTATCTCAGGGGTTTCCTTTGAGCCACAAGCTGTCAAAGCAGGGGGCTTTATGGATGTTTGTTCCCAAGGGAAATGGGGTTTCCTCAAGGATACAGGCCAGAAGTTTCCAGTCCCCTCTGAGGAGCTTGATTCTGTGTTGATCTCCTCAACTCCACCTCAGCACACTTAAGAGATCCTCACATTGTTGGGTCCTTGGGAGAGAGAGAGCAGCTGGGTACTGTCACCAGCCTCCCCGCTGGACACCACTGTAGGTCTCATTGACCGCCTCCCTCCATTTCTTCTGGCCTTGGATTCTAGTCCTTTAATCCTTGTCTCAGCATGTCTCAGGCCATGGATGATGGCCAAGCCACCACATTCTTCTAGGCATGGTGGCCTGACCCCACAGGGTGACTCAGCCCCAAAGAGCCATATCTCTTGTCTACCATTCTTGGGAAAAAGATGGGAGAAACCAAGCATGTATATTCCCCAGAGGGGACCCAAAGCTGTGACTCGGAACCAATAGGGAGGAGGAGGATGTAGCTGGGGACAGCAAAGCATGAGATGCCCCTCCAGGCATTGAATCTCTAGAGATAGCCTGTTCTGCCAAGATATACTAACTTAGGGATGTGGAACTTTAGTGTGGTTGAGAGCTTGTTTGCAAAAGTGCAAGACAAAGACTCAACGCTGTGGCAGTTGGTACAAGACTCGACCCAGTCTGGGGTCTTGAGCAAGAGTGAGGAGCATGGGAGACATTTGGCCCCCGAAGCCAAGGAGGCAGGGTTCAAGATTTGTAGGAAGTGGTGCTGCAGACAATCGTAGCTAAGTAATTGAGCTACAATGCTCGAGCCATTCATTCAGTCAGCCACTCCCTAAGGATGCTGGAGAAAGAGAGGTAGGCACAAGAGGGCATCTACAGCTCTCCTGTCTCTATTCCTGGTGTCGTCATGTATATAACCTATGATGCAGCACCTCAGCCTTTAAGGGTATTATATACTCTGAGGAAACATTTGCTTTCTCTGGGCATGCATGCTACTGATAAATAAAAAGCTCACTTCTCCGCTAAAATCAGGAGACAATCCCAGAAGTACGTGAGAAAACATTGTTGTTTCTCAACACCATCTCTAGAACGCTCCATCTCGCAAATGCCAAACCCTGTTTCTGTCGAACACAACTCCCTTCCTCCCACCCCCTGGTTCCAACTGGTCATCGTCATTCTAATTTTGAAGTGCTCAACATGTCAGATCCTCTTCAGGTGGAAGCAGGCAGAACTCCTCATCTCGGGTTGGCTTCAGTCATTTAGCACAGTGTCCTCACCGCTCAGCTCTGTCGTAGCGTATATGACAGCATTCTTTTCTTTTTCTCAAGACCAAGTGATACTTTATCACACGTGCACAGAGTTTTCTTTGCTCGTTCATGGATGCATGCTTAGGTGGCCTCCAGCTCCTTGTCATTATGAATAAAGTTGCTACAAACACGGACAAAGATTTATTAGACATCCCACTTTCCATTTCTTTTGGATACATACAGGGAAGTGGGACTATCAGATCATGTGGTAATTTTACTTTTAATTGTTGGAAATACATTGGCACTTTGTCCCTCTAAAAGTGCATAAACCATTTTGTGTTTGCCCAGCATGCAGAAAGTTGTAGGGACAACGAATTGTTCATCTGCTTGTTATTGGGGTCTTGTGATAATGAAGATAGAATCTACAGCCTCAGGCATGCTAAGCACGAGTTCTGTTACTGAGCCACAATCCCAGCACAGTCAATTTCATTTTAAATAGTGGCCATCCTAAAGAGTGTGAGGTGATATTTCATGATGGTTTGTGTGTGTGCATGTATGTTAGTGTTATTTAAATATTTCCTTTTTCTTTAATGGCTCATTTTTGTCTGTGAAATCTTTCTGGAAAGCAAATATTTTTTTTAAATTGAAGGTAGAGAAGGCATTTTGAGCCCTCAGGAATACTTTATGGGACAGGATAAGACCTGTCTCCCTAGGGAGACAACCTTTGATTTCAAGGGTGGGATGGTGGAGAAGGAGACCTGTGACTGGGAGTAAATCATCTCAATGACAAATGGCATCAGGACCATTGCTGGCAAGACCTAGGATGTCAAGCTGGCCCACCAGGCTAACCTTGGCTCTGTATCACGTGGTTCCTTCAAGTTTCCATCAGGGACAAATGATCCCTACTACAAATGCCACCATGGGGCTGAAAGCAAGTTCCTTCCCCTCCCACTCCGTTCCCGTACCCCTGGAGTAGAGATGGTGTCCTCAGTAATAGGGAGGACAGCTTAGTCAGTCATGCCACACAAGCACAAAGACTTAAGTCCAGACTAGCAGCACCATGCAAAAGCTGGGCACAGCCACTCATGGCTATAGTCTTAGCTCTGCAAAGGCAGAGACAGAAGGATCCTTGGAGCTCACTGGCCAGCCAGCCAGCCAAACCGACAAGATCCAAGTTGAGTGGGAGATTCTATTTCAAAGAAAGAAAGAAAGAGAGAGGAGAGAGAGAGAGAGAGAGAGAGAGAGAGAGAGAGAGAGAGAGAGAAAGAGAAAGAAAGCTAGAAACAAGAGAGGAAGGTATTCTATATTAACCCTTGGTTTCCGTATGTGCGCATGCACGCGTGTGCATACACACACACACACACACACACACACACACACACACACACCTTGGACATTCAGAACCATGATCTCTCCTCATCAGAGCTGCCAAGCCTCAGACAATGAATTGACTAAACGGATTTTTTTCCGGGTGGAAGCAGCGCTTTCCGGCTCTAACTCTGGTTTCCTTTCTGAATGTCAGAGCTCTCTCTTGCTCTCATCTGCCTACTTCCCTTGTGCCTTCTTCAAAGTCACCCGGTATGTTCCTGTGACTATTTCTGTCACTGCTTCCTGGTTTGGTACGTGCGTGTGTGGGTGTTCCGCTGAAATATAACACGTGAAGAAAAGTGCACAGGTCACGAGAACACACTCCGATGAGTTTGCTTCAGATGAACATCTGCCAAACAACATTCCCAGCACAAACTACCCCAAAGCGTCTTGCCTTGCACCTCCCCAGCTACCCCCAGCTCCAGGGTGGCATAGGGTCTTTGGGAGAATTCTGCAACATCTCAGCCTTGTTTTAATCCTGTGTCCACTACGTCTTAATGGCCAGGGTGTGACCTGGCTGTGCATTGCAGACCTGGAAGCACGACAAAGCTTGTGCATCTGTGGACAGCAAGTGCAGGTGTGTGAGGGCGGCAGGGACAGACAGGCGTTTGTGACCAAGCTGCCTTTCAGGAAGGACATGCTGTATTCACACAACAAAGAAGGCCTTTGAAGGAAATTGGACAATTTTCTTCCTCTTTTTATTCCTTGGGAGGAGAATCAGCCCTTCTAACTTGAGATGTGTGAGAGCTAAGATTTAGGACGATGGTAGGATCTTCAGTCTTTTCCTAGGGTGGTTTGGAAGCCGAATTTGAACAGGTTGCTGCCTCCTGAATCTCCTCCTCATCTCCATTCCCCTCCTTCATTTCCTTCCCCTCCTTTCCCAGACCTTTCTCTCCATCCTGTTCCCCCTCTCCCACTTATTTTTTAAAAAATATTTTATTTATTTATTTAAATCAAATCATAATTTTTACTTATTCACACAGGGGTTATAAACACAGAAAGGCAGGATGTGGGGAAGGGGATGACACCAGAGCATGGGTGTTCAGGGAGAGTACAGATATCTTTTAGAACAGGGTATCAGCTGGGTAAGGTTCAGGGGACAGGTCACTATGACTCTGCCTATGATTCACTTGTCCTTATCTAAGTTGATATTGTCTGCCAGGGCTACCTATTTACGAGGTCTATGACTACTCAGGCTGGTAAATTTCCACAAAAGCTATCTGTTTATAATAGCTTATAGCCATCTGTTTCAATGTTTTTCCACAGAGACCCAAGACTTGGTGTTAGTATACATGTATGACAGGCCTATTGCTGATTTAGGCCTATGGCTGATTTTAGGCCTTCAGTGTGTAAGCAGGGCTGCCCCTGACATCTCTTCCCTTCTCTAAGTACCCTCCCCCACTTCTTATCCTCTTCTTTCCTTCCTTCCTTTCCTCCTCTTTCTCTTCCTCTGTTTCTTCCTTCCTTTCATCCTCTTCCTCCTTCCTCTTTCTTTTTCCTCTTCCTCTTCTTCTTTCCCCCTTCTCCTCTTCCTTGTTTTCTTCCCTCATCCCAGATCTTGTTCACGCCCCTAAGAGCACACGGTACCTCTGGGTTACTCCCAGAGCCCAAAAGCAAGTCCTGGCCACTTCCAGAGAATGCTCTTCTTTTCCGTTCTTCACCGCTCCCTGCCCTTCCTTACAACTCACTCCCCAAATCAACCGAGTCATGATGCTTTGCAGTCCCTCGGAATCTTACTCTTTTTATACAGGATGCAGGTCAGATGGACTCATGTGCGTGAGGATGATCTATCTGGCTAAGCAGTGTTTTCTTCTTATAATTTATATTCAGAGTCCCTTTCAGTTTTCTGGAGTGGGGCCTGTCTTTGACCTTTGATCTCTGTCCTCCCAGAATATTGTAAATTAGATGAGTGTAAAATGAAGTATTTGAGTCTTCCAGGGATTCTTCAAGGTCACCCTTAAACAGTTTATAGGACGGAAAGCAGACAATATAATAAACATCGGGTGATGCTGTCCGTGTGTGCAGCTGGCTGCCAGACACTCCAACGATAAACTTCAGCCTCTCCAACTCAGCATGCTCTAGGTGACGAAAGCTCACAAGCTGCGGGCTGAGTCCTTCAGCTAGAATAAAGCCCATTAGCCCAGGAACCGGGTTAGCTAAGGAACTCAAATTTTCAAACTGTAAGAACTAAGTCAGAACCCAAAAATGAAAAACCAACTAGCCGGCCCTTTCTATCCACGGGTTCTATGTTGGGGGCTTCCTACCAGTAGGCCGTGTGTTTGATTTCTTCAGATTTAACTAGTTGTGATCAAAACTAATTTTTAAATCTGCATATGTCCTAAGCATGGGCAGACCTTTCCCTTGTATTTATTCTTCAGATGGCATGATATAACAGTTTCTATTGCATCCACACTGTTAGAAGTATAGAGATGATTTAAAGTATGGGAGGGAGGGGGCTGGGTAGATGGCTCAGTGAGCAAGGACACCTCATTCTGCAAGCATCAGGACTTGAGTTCTAATCCCCAAATGGGAAGGAAAGACAATAGTGTGAAGTAGGAGAGACAACTGATCTATCAGTGACTATCTCAAACATGGCACAGAGTATGGCCAAGCTCAGGTCTCCAGTGCCATGCTGAGGGTCCCCTCTGCCTTTGGGCAGAGTGGCTTATCAGGGCCCCTAGTGAGAGCGTCACTGGAGGGAAGAGGAGCAGAGGGCTTAGATGATAATGTGATAATCATACAGTGAGTGAGGAAAAGCCTGCACAGAGGCCTTGGGTATCCCATTTCAGCTAGGTGCTAGGGCCTCATGGGAAGGCTTGCAGGAATGACCAATGGCCCCGCTTCTCAAGCAGGGACCCAGAATCTTAGGATGGAAAGGCCTTATAGAAAGATGAGACTCAGGAACAACTCGATCCAGTCCCAGTCTCAGCATTTACTATGTTACTCAACCACTCTCTGCTACTTAGCTATCCCATAAGAAAACGGAAATCCTGGGCCAATGAGATGACTCAGTGGGTAAAAGTGTTTGCCATGCAAACCCAGTGACCCAAGTTCAATTCCCAGGACCACATAAAGGAGAGAACCAATTACACAAAGTTGTCCTCTGACCTCCACATGAGTGCTATGTCCAAGCCCTAACTTCCCATCCTTCTCTCAACAATAAGTTTTAAAATTTTAGGAAATTGTCTCAGTCACTGCTCTATTGCTGTGAAGAGACACCATGACCAAGGCAACTCTTATAAAAGAAAGCATCTAACTGAGGGCTTGCTTGCAGTTTTGGAGGTTTAGTCCCTTATCGTCATGGCAGGGAGCATGGTGGCATGCATGGTACTGGATCAGTGGAAGTCAAAGGCAGACCACCAGTTTGCCAGATGTCATGACACTGGGGAGATGATCAGATCATAAGGTGCCTGCTGGGTAAGCACAATTGCCCAGTGCAATCCTCAGCACCCACATAAAAAGGCTGGTCTGGTGGAAATACAGCCCAAGTACTGAGGACAGTTAGTTGAGTGGATTCCCTGGAATTTGATGGCTAGCCAGTGCCCCAAGCTGAACTAGTGATTTCCAGGTAAAAATGAGAGATGCTGTCCCCCAAAACAAAGTGCAAAACATCCTGAGGACTAAAACTGGAGGTTGAGGTCTGGTCTAAACACACACACACACACATATATATACATACATATATATACATACACAAATACACATGTATATGCATACACATATATGTGCACACATACATACACATGTACATACCCAAGCACACACATATGTACACACACACACATGTGCATAACCACACACACATATATACATACACCCACATACACATGTACATATCCAAACACACATATATACACATACACACACATGTACACACACATATATACATTTACATACCCACACACATATACACACACATACACATACATACACATACACATGTACATACTCAAACACACACATATGCACATACAGACACATGTACACACACATATACATTTATATACCCACACACATATTCACTCACATACACATACATGCATATGTATATACCCAAACACACACATATACACATACACACATGTATACACATACATACATTTACATACCCCCACACATAAACACACACATACACATACATGCACATGTATACACACACATATACATTTACATACCCCCACAACATAAACATACATACACATACATACACATGTGCATAACCACACATATATATACACATACACATATAATATATATACACATAGCACATACACCATACATACACTAAAACACATTCACACACACCATTCACACACACATATACACACACCACATACACTCACATACACATACACATACACACAGAAACAAACTGACATTAAAATCTCTGATTATTTTAAGAAAATGTATCCATTGGTCAAAGCAAGGTGAACTGATGCCAGAAGCAAGTGCTTTGCACTTAGGAGAAGGAGCCAGGCTGGGCTGTCCATTCCTTCCCTCACCCCCACCCCCACACCCCTGAGACAGCCGGTATATTTCCCGTGATCAGAGAATTAATTTCATGTCACACTGGGACCAGAGGTCACGTTCAAGCACAAAGCAGGGTGTGTTCTTCAGAGCAATATGAGCCAGGTCTGTGCTCTGGCTGGTGGCCACTGGTCCTCTTGACAGAAATTGATTGGCCTCAGCGTCCCTCAGAAGTTTGATCGAAGCACTGAAAAAATACTCTCAAAAGCTTGCTGAGGGCCAACCTTTTCCTAAGGTTCTCCTCATCTCCTCATACGCATGACTCTCACTCACCTACCCTGGCTGGCCGTTGCCCAGACACTGAAATCAACCACTGCTGAATCCATAAAATATGTCCTCCACATCACCGCTGGGGCCTGGCCGTCTCTCTGACATCTTACTTTAGACCCTTCCCACTTGCCGTCTTTCTTTCCCTGGGACTTCCAAACCTGTGTCCCTTCTCATGTCCTTTACACCAAATGCTTCTCTTTCTGGAAACTTCTCCCTTCTTGTGCCCAGTGTAGAGGGTGCTATCCACTCTCTAGGCTTTCCCTGCTCTCTGCCTAGAAACCATGTCTCACTCCAAGACTCTGTAGCCCACTGTGTGTCATTCCCTCTCTGTGCTCAGGCCCAGGTATGATCACTCTCTTTCCTCCCAGCAGCCTCTCAGGAGCTGGTTCTCCTCCGTGTCATTTTTCTGATGCCTTGATGTGAACTTACACTCTCCCTCCCTCTCTGTCTTTTTAGGCCTGTGCCCATCGTTGGAAGAACATCTACTACGAAACAGACCACATCCTGCCCCACGGATTCTGCTACCTCATCCCTTCCAACCTCCAGGCCAAAGGCAAGGTGCTGATCCCCTGCTACGAAGGTGAGTGTGGATTGGTTCTTCCTCAGTGCGGTACCCTCCTTGCTGGGTAACTTCAACAGCCCCCCACCCTCTCCCTCACACCACTGTCTCAGCATCTTTCTGGCTTTCCACATGCTGGTGTGAGAGCAGGGTTATCTGTCCCCAGGTTGACTCTGGCATCAATGCTATGTTCATGGAAGAGGCAACTGCAAAGGGGACAATGGTCCAGGCCCTGTCCATCCCTGCTCCTGCCACAGAGACCATGGTGTTCATTATGAAGTCCCAGAGATAAGGTCTAGCCACGTGATCCAGCAGTTCTCTTAGCTTCCTGGAGCTGCCAGATGCCATAGGGCCTTGAGAAACTTGCCATCTTTTTCTGGACCCGAGTTTCCTTATCAAAAAGGTCAGGAACTGGTCCAGGTGATCTCGACAGCACCACTGCAATGCCAGAATGCTCACTGGAGTTCCACAAGACTCCTGGTTGTTCTAGGCTGTAGAAAGAGCAGATCCAGTATCTATAAAGCAATAATGTGGCAGAAGTTGTCCAACCAACCCCCCCTCATTCAGTTCTCATGACATACACTTCTGACCCTCCTTGAGTGTCCTAGACCTGGACATAGAGCAGTCCTTGGGTCTGGAAAACACTTGGTATCAGTCAGCTATCACTGCGTAACAATACATTTCCATGCCAAACAATAATAAACATGATTTTTTTAAAATTTGTACAACTCCACACAGGCTGGGCTCAGGAGAGCTTAGTGCGCTCTGGTTGTAGGTTCAGATCAGGTTCGTTCTACATGTCGCCTTCTGAGACCATGAGCTATGTAGGGTGTGCTGTGTGAACACAGGGTCACTTGGGGTCTTCTACGATGCCCTGCTTAGAACTGCACATTCTTGGGATAAAACAGAGCCAACCGTTACTGAGGCAGTTGACTTGAGCTTTAGATGCTTCCTTTGGTGGTCTGCACTCCCTCTTTCCCTAGCCTCGTTCTGGTGAGCTGAGCCAGGTCCCTCCCTAAGTGCAAAAGGCTGTTTGATTTTTAATTGCTTCCCACTTATGCTTTTGGAAAGAGGTCTCACTCCCTGGTCTGGGTCTACACTGCTTTGTGCTTCCCTGAGCTGTCTTAGGTTTTGTACTTGTGGTCATCAAGAGGGTTCTGACACTTTCTGGACATTGTAAGTAATCTTTGTCTAATGGGGAAGGGGCGGGGAAGGCACTATGTGGAATTCAGAAGGCAGGACATTCTGTGAACTGTTCTCTACAGAAAGGTCAGCAGGGGCCTGAGTCGAGGCACAGACTCTCTTCTTGTGTGAGGATGGGCTGTTTTCATACCTTCATTCTTTCTTTGCTTGAGGCTGGGCGAGATGGGGAAACTGAACTCTGGTATTGTTCACTCCCATATTGTCCTAATGGGATAAAAAAACTTCATCTTAAAATCCCGTGATATAGCCACAGATGTGTAGCTCAGTTGGTAGAATGACTGTCCAGCATGCGTGAAGTTCTGGGATTTTATCCTCCAGGCCAGCTAGGTACACAAGCCCCTATCTCAAATGAATGAATGAATGAATGAATGAATGAATGAATATCATCAGCCAAGCAGTGGAGAACATGTGCACCAAGCCAGGACATTTGGTTTTCACCCACCTGTCTCGGCACTTTCCACACCCCACACAGCTCACTCACTGGTCCCCAAACACAAACCATGGAACACGCTTGACCTGAATTTGTAGCCAAAGCCCATTCATGTCAGCTGAGCCCCAGCTCATGCACAGCTGTATGAAGGAGAAACCAACATCCGTTGATTTTCCATGAAGAATCAAAGTTGTTATGCAGGGGTAGCTGACCGGCACAGGGCTCCGCTTGGGAGCTCAGAGTCCTCCTGCAGGGATGACCTAGGTTTCTTTGCTTTGTATATTTCTTGACTCCATGATGGTCAAATGGAGCCAGAGAAGATACTAGCAAGACGTTTGCTCCCACTTGACTTTTCTTCCTTAAGGACACACATGTATTCAAATTTGTACTTTGGCTAAATAAATAAATAAACAAATAAAATAATAAAAATAACCCACAGTAAGGGGTGGGGCTGGAATAGGGAGTGCTGGGACGAAGAGCAGCTGCTTAGGAAGGCAGAGGACTGGACAATGGTTCTGTGTTCTTGGATCTGTAAAATGAGAGGGGTGGCGATGCTCAGATTTCTCCAGAAGACTGGGTTAGTGGGGGGATTAGGTGGGAGGCAGGCCCGCAGTGAGAAGGCCCTGTCTTGTCCTGTTGGTTTTGGAGACCTCCACTTCCCTGTTTTGTGGTCTAAATGAAACCAACTTTGGCTCCTAAAACAACCATTATTTTCTCTTAATGTGGAAAATCTCAGTGACGCAAGCTCGCTGTTCCAGGTGGGGATCACATTATGGTTAAGGACAATGGAAGCATTTAGAGTTCGATGGGACCTTTCAGATGTCATCTAGACCAGTTTGCTGGGTGTATCAAGGTCCAGAGAGATAAGCATGGTTTGTAAGTCTGAGTTTTCACTGTGTGGAGGGTGAGTGGCACAAAACCCAGGACTCCAAATGCCAGCTCCTGAGTCCTGGCTCTACAGCTCCCTCCCGTTAACACTGACTGCTGATGAGAAGGTAAACTCTGTGTCCAGCTTAAGTGATCAATACTTTCAAATTCTTAGAGCAGTGTCTGGTATACATCTGCTAGCACACTATATGCTGAACATATTACGTATGGTAATATGCTTGTTATAGGTTAGTGAGCCAGGCACTAAGTAAGCAAGGTTTATGAGCGGTTATAAGGCGAACTGACTTGTGTTAAAGGAGTAGAACTCATGTAGTTTTGTTAAGTGATGGCTGATGAGCACCAGAGAGACAAAAGCCAATATACACAGTCCCAGAAGAGAAGGGAGTACGTGAGGGGAGAATGGAAACCAGTGGAAATGAGGAGGGACACAGGAGGGCAATAGTGGAGGAAGGGATAACAGAAAAGTGTGTACTAACATACACGAGGGATGGGGAGATGGCTCTGTGGTTAAAAGGCTTCCCATCCAAGTCAGATTCCCATATACATGCCAGGTGAATGTGGCACACCCCCAGAAGGCAGAGACAGAGGAGTGCCCACCACGGAAGACTGGCTAGTGAGATCAGCTATTTTGATGAGCTCTGGGTTTGATTGAGAGGGTCTGAATCAAGGAAAAGGACAGAAGAGCACTTGAGGATGATTTCTGATATTAATTTTGGGCCTTCATCTGCATGTACACACACGTGCACACAAATACATGCATACACAAATGCACATGCACACACGTACATATGAAAAACATACACACCTGAAAATGTCATAAGTAAACTTATTTTTTATAATAATTAGAAAATGGATTTTTCTAATTATTTATGGACTAAAACCATAAATCTTCCAGTTGCAGAAGAGAACAGAGGGGACTGCATGTTTGAACACTGGTGCTGTGTAGGACTGAATCCCCAGGCCAGGCATGTTCAGTTGAGTGTCTCTCCCCAGGGACTTGAGCTGCATCCAGGGCAGGCTTATTTCATTTTATGATTGAGGAATTTGAAACCTGCTTAAGGCTTACAGTCTGTGGAAGGCAGGGAAGTGACGGACGGAGGCACTATACTGTTAAGTCATGGCAGCCGGCAGGGCAGGGTCTGGAGAGGCTCCTCCTTCCAGGTTTACCTACTGTGCAATGATGACAGAATGCATGAGGGACTGAGACAGGCTTGATTGGGGCTGCTGTACCACACCACCTCGCTTGGTGTAGTTAAAGGTCTTGCCAGTGGAATGGATGCTGGCATGCCTCCACTCCTCTTTGGGTTGTTCTAAGGAGATCACAAGAAATCCCAGAGGACGGTGCTCACAGAACCTGCCTGTTGCTCTGTAGTGGTGGCTCCTTGTTGGGCTTCCCGGAAGGTCAGCAATACAGTCTCCTGAAGATTAGAAAGTCAGTTTGGTAGACTAAACTTTCTGGGTCACTTTTCTAAAATGTCTTGAGCTTTTTTTGTTTTAAAAATGATTTTATTTTTAAGAGTGTGTTTGTATGGTATGTGTGGTGTGTGTGGTGTGGTGTGTATAGTGAGTGTGTGTGTGTTTGGTGTGTGCTGTGTATGTGTATGAAAATATGAACAAAGGTGCCCATGAAAGCCAGAAGACTGCATCAGATTCCCTGGAGCTGAATTTACAAGTGCTTTTGAGTCCACTGAATTGTGTGTTCTACGAGCACAGTATACAATCACTGAACCATCTCTTGGGTCCCTCGAGCTTTTGATTTCTTAAAAAACATTGGTCTTGGGTTTGGCACAGGGCATTTTCTCATGGCTTCTCAGCTGCTTCCTGTTGGATGGGAGAGGCTACCAGAACATCCTGTTGGAACCAGGAAATACAGAAGGAATTGGAACTCAAAAAGACTAGGACATAAAATCAGATAAACTCACAGTGCATCCCTGTAGCAACACATCGAGTTTACACCTGTCTCAAACAGGGACAGTAACATTATGCCCTCGTGTTCTCTTTGTCAAAGTGTGGGAGAAGATAAGAACTTACCTGGCATGACTTGGGGAGATTACCAGAAAAACAGAGTGAACACTATCAAACATTAGTTACTTAAATATGCCAGAATGCTTTTTAAAAGAGTTATCTTATTTTAAATTGTTTGTGTGTGTGTGTGTGTGTGTGTGTCTGTCTGTCTGTCTGTCTGTGTCTGTCTGTGTCTGTGTGTGTCTCTGTGTGGGCATGTACATGTGAGTGCTGTGCCCTTGGAGGCTGGAGGTCAGATGTGTCAAATCCCTTGAGCTGCGTCTCTAGTCACCACACTAGGGTATTTAAAGCCTCTCCAAACTTAAGTCAGTACATGTGATAAAATCAAGTACAGACACTTCTTCTATCCTTTATCCTTGAACCCACCAAGGCAAAAAGCCAGAACTTAGCATGAGACTGTAAGCAACTCATGTGGTTTTTTTTTTTTTTATTGTGATGGGGAAAAAATATCTCATGAGTCTGGGATGACTTGAGA